AGAAAGACAAGTACTGTATGATTCCACTTATACGAAGTATCTAAAAAGAGTCAAATTCATAGAAGCTGAGTAGAATGGTGGTTGCCAGGGGCTCAGGGAGGGGGAAATGGGGGAGTTGCTATTCAACAAGTATGAAGTTTTAGGTATACACAATGAGTAACTTCTAGAGGTCTGCTGTACGACATTGCATGTAGTTAATAATACTGTATTGTGCAGTTAAAAATGTGTTAAGGTCTATCTCCTGTTGTATTCTTAACACAACATTATATATATATAATTAATATATATATTTCCCAGTGTAGTATATTTAAATATATTTCATATACACATATATGAATATATTTCTTACATACACATATATGACCTATATTTAAATATACTACACTATTAACACATGTAATTTACACTATTAAATATATTAAATATACTACACTATTACACATGTAGTTAATAATACTGTATTGTGCAGTTAAAAATGTGTTAAAAGGGTCTATCTCATGTTTTCTTAACACAACATAATATATATAAATTAATATATGTGTTTTCCAGTGTGGTATGTTTAAATATATTTCATTAACATATATTTCATATATATATGTATATATGCACACACATATACACACAAATATGTATTTCCAATTTGGTTACTAACTTTGCCTTCTCCAGTCTCAACTTGGAAATCCAGGGGAGGGTTTTAGGAGACTAGATGTTGTATTTCATATCACACACTAATCATTCCTGTGGCAGCCCACAATGTGTCCTAAGTTCTTTCACATAGAGCAGCTTAGTTAACATTATACTTATAGGGGAATTTTCTCTCCCTTTTCTTTTTTCCTCTTTCTCTCTTGGCAGATGATAATCTCAAAATGGAATTGCCAGAGGCTCCTGGCTGGCTCAGTCAGTTGAGCATGTGACTTTTGATCTGGGTGTTGTGAATTCAAGCTCCACATTGGGCTAGAGATTACTTAAATATATTCTTTTAATGTTTATTTATTTTTGAGAGAGAAAGGGTGTGAGCAGGATAGGAGCAGAGAGGGAGTGGGGGTAGAGAGAGAGAGAATATCCCAAGCAGGCTCCACACGGTCAGCACAGGGCAGGGCTCGAACTCATGAACCATGAGATCATTACCTGAACCAAAATAAAGAGTTAAACGTTCAACCATCCGAGCCACCCAGGTGCCCCTTCAATTTTTTTTTAAAACAGATCAGTGTGGAGCCTGTTTATGATTCTCTCTCTCTCTCTCTCTCTCTCTGTCTCTCCCTCTGCTCCTCTCCCCCCCTCTATCTCTCAAATTAAAAAAATTAAAATTAAAAAGAAATAATTGGGTTCCCAGTTGCTTCAATGGATGTAAAAAGTTAGAGTAGATAAAAGTTTTATTCAACTTGGGTTTACATAAAGACCTCTAGAAATCAATAAGACTGAATTCTTGCTCTCCCTCACCAATCACCACCTCCTCCAGATCATCTGAATCAGTAAATGTCACTGCCCTTGGCCAAGTAGCTCTTGGTAAAAACCTGGACTCATCCTTGACATCTTTCTCCTGCACCTCTCATGTCCAATCCCTTCCCCAAATCCTACTGATTCTTCTTCTATAGTGTATCCAATTGAATCACTTCTCTCCATTTCCTCTGTCCCCATTCTAGTATGAATTACTTTATTTCTCATCCAGAGAACTGAATGGTCTCCCAGATGAACTATCCACTTCTCTTTCACAATCTGCCATTCAATTCTCTTCACAGCAGCCAGAATCAGGTCCTTAAAATACAATCTGATCATATCACTTCCTTGCTTACAATACTTCAATAGCTTCTTGTTCCACTTATGATAAAGTCTACAATCCTAATGTGGCACCAGAAGCCCTGTCTGATATGCCCCTACCAAGCTATACCTATTCAGCATTATTGTTTTTTGATTGCAGACAACAGGAACTGGCTCTCATTAGTTTCAGGATAAAGATACTGGAAGCTATCAAGGAAAGGTTGAGCCGCCAAGACTTAGGGAGATAAACCAAGTCCTTCCCAGGAAGCGGCAGGTAGACTTCTCTCTGGACTCCTGGCATTAATATAATTAGTCTTACGTCTGTGCTTCTCTCTTCAGTATTTCAAATTACCAGAGGAAAAAAAAATCTGATTTGCTTGGCTTCTGTTAAATTTTTATCCCAGGATCCATCTGTTATCTCCAATTTGATCTATCTCCACAAAGGTTACTCTGTCTTATTTGATACCATACACTTATGCCTAGCATCCAGTAGGTGTTCATTAAACATTGAATTAATGATTACTTAATTGAATAAATGACTTGGCCATGGCCAGAAGACACGGTCAATTAATATAGACATGGCCAGTGGGAGCTCACTTCAGGTTTTGGAGTTCATTTCCATGGTTGTGAGTGAGGCATCCACCTCAAGAGATAACCTTCACCTGTACTATTAATCCTCACCTTGTTTCATTTTCCCCCTCATACTTGGAGCCTTTGGCCTCCTTCCATTCCTCCAAACTGTCAAGCAATTTCTAAACTCAGAGTCATTGCATGTGCTATTCACTGTGCCAGATCTCTCTCTCTCTCTCTCTCTCTCTATATATATACATATATATGTGTGTGTGAGTTTCATATATGTGCTATGCTTGTTTCTTTCTCTTGTTTCTCTCTCTTACTATATATAAATATTGAACACTGTCAGTAGAGGGAACTAGAGACACATTGCAGGAAAGCACAAGGTCTTTCTTCCTGGCTCTAAATTTGATTTGATTTATTTCTTCTCAGCTAATTGGATTTTATCCAATTATATTTCAATGATGAGGACAATGGCACAAATAGATCAGTTATACATTTTAGAAGATATCGTGATGAGTTACTAATTTCTCTGAGTTTTTTATACCTAGCATATTTTTATTCTATTTATGTGAGTTTTTTAAAGTAAAAATAACAAACTGTAAAATTGGAGAAAATTACTCATATATTGTTTTTAGGATAGGGTTTCTCTGGCTTGAAGCACTTTCTTCAGCACCTTTCTTGGTGAGGGCTGGCTGTTTTCTATTAATATTTATGGTGAGACCATCTTCTCCAGGTGCTTACTTTGGTATGATCTTGGACAAATCACAGAATCGTGTACTCTAGGGTTTGGAGCATTTAATAGACAAATTCTGTCCAGTTTCTTCATCTGGATATGAAGGGCTGTACTATGTGTTCTCTAATTCTTTCCAACTTTCTCTGAAGACATGCACACATGAGTATCAGTTGAGCAAATAATTCCCAGTTTCAACTGTGCTTCCTACTGAAAGTCCATGGTTGTTTAGGGAATTACTGGAATTGTAAATTTTATTTAAAATATACACTGAATAAAGTTGGTTTTTTTGAGGTGTCAAATGCTTATCAGAGCTTCAAAAATTTTTTTAAAGCTTATTTATTTTGAAAGAGAGAGTGCACACACATGCAAGCAGGAGAGGTGGAGAGAGAGGGAGAGAGAATCCCAAGCAGGCTCCACACTGTCATCATGGAGCTGAAAATGCGGCTTGAACTCAAACTCATGATCTGTGAGATCATGACGAGCCAAAATCAAGAGTTGGACACTTAACCAGCTGAGCCACCCAGGTGCCCCTGGAATTTTGATTCTTTAGCCCACATTGATCATATAATGCAAACTTCCTGGCCTTTTGCTTCCTAATTAGAAAGTAATATAATGACAAGATAACCTGGAATTTTGGTTTTACTAATAAACACCTTCTGAATACTTATTATGTGCCAGGCATTTTAGAAGGCACTGAGGAAACAAAATTAATAATTCCTGTTCATCCTCAATGTTTAGGGTGAATTGAAGGAGGAAGAAACCGTAGTTACAAAGGTCAGCTGGGAAGTCATTGTAGTCCATCATTTATAAATCACAATACACTATTTTCCTTTTTTTTAATGTTTCCTATTATAAAACTACATTTCATAAAAAGTAAGATAGGATGGAGATCATTCACTATGTGCTGTGTCAAACCGAAAACAAAACTCAAGTTTTGTTTGAGGAGGCAAGAATATAGGGAATGCAAACTAGAAATTAGACTTGTTGACTAAGACTTTGAAACTCCCATGAGAGGATGAACTTCCCACGCTATGAGCACTTTAAAGGGGGTTGAAGTGTATATCAATAGAATTTTTTTTTTTACAAATAGTTTATTGTCAAGTTGGTTTCCATATAACACCCAGTGCTCATCCCCACAAGTGCCCTCCTCCATGCACATCTCCCCCCCCCCACCCATCAGCCCTCAGTTTGTTCTCAGCATTCAAGAGTCTCTCATGGTTTGCCTCTCTCCCTCCCCCCCACTATTTCCCCCCTTCTTCTTCCCCTTGGTCCTCCGTTAAGTTCCTCCTAATCCTCCTATACGTGCAATACTATGGTACTTGTCCTTCAATGGAACTTTTAGTAAACGCAAAATTTTGCTACCACTGGACGTGAGATGGTTAAAGTATGTTAATACGGGCTAGCCAAAGCATATCAGAAATAAAACAAACCCGGTGCTAAAATTAAGATTTGGAAAAGCGACACTCCAACACGGAGACTAGGAACGCATACTAGCGTTTGGAGGTCCCCGCTCAGATGCACAATAACCTCTCCTCTCGAAAACTTAGATGTGCCACAAGGGGGCTGTCAGCCTTTCCATTTCTGACTAGGAATTTATAATCATTTGATTTTTAGGCAACGCCTTCACTACAAAAGCCAAAATCGGGAAGTCCTAATTCCAGACCTTGCTGTCTGCTCTGCAGACAGCAGCTGCAGCGGGGGCCAGAGACAAAAGAGCTAGGCCAGCCAGCCAACCACAACCAGCCAGTAGCTGCCACGCTCTCCTTCCAGCGACCCTCGCAGCAGAGAAAGCTGGCTTCCCATTGGACCAACCTGAGGGCGTGGGCCGCTCCCGATTGGTTTAGAGGAGGGGGCGGGAAATAGGCGTGTCCTGACGTCATGCCAGCCCCTAAAGTGTCCCTATTGCTCAGGATTGTGGGAGGGAGAGGAAGTAACCGGAGAGAAAAAAAGTAAACCGCAGCAACCTTTATGCGCCTGGGCCGGCCCCCTTCCAGAGTTGGGGTTCCCTCCCACCAACCCGGTGAGCTCCGCCCTCACGCCCCGCCCACGCGGGGAATCAGGTGACCTCGGGCCTGCGAAGTCACGTGGCTGGGGCGCGCCCGCCCGTTGTGGCCATGGCGGCCGCAGGTTCCAGTGTGGTGAGGCGAGTGGAAGAGCTCGGAGACGCGGCTCAGGCTCACATACAGCAGCTTAGCGAGGCCGCCGGCGAAGACGGTGAGTGAGCGGAGGAGAGGGGGCGGTCCGGCTGGCCGTACTTCATAGCTGGCCCTCGACCGCGGTACGGGCTGCAGGCTGCGGCCTGTGGGCGGTGTAGGTCCCAGGCCAGAATTATCGAAGGTTGCACTTGTGACTCTCGCTGCAGGGTCGATTGTCCACCTCCAGAAACTCACGTTGCCTTAAACCAAGGCATTTGCGTCTCTACACTGCGTTTTTCATAACTCATGAAAACCGCTTACATCTCCCGCAAATCAGTGCTGCTCGTCTTTTTGCCAATAGCGATTGGGAAAAGAGTAAAATCTGAATAAAAGTACGAAAGTTTAAATGAGTGGTTGAAGCTGACTGATAGTACGCAGATGAGTAATGATTGAGGTGCACTAAAGATAGCGAGGCATGTGTAACAGTTACACTTTTTAATTGCCGCCTTATAAATTTTAGTCTTCTGTTTTGGAGTCTAAATCCAGCTGTAAACAGTACAGAAGAGCTTTGCATTGGTGTAGTTTGTACGATTCTTTCTTGGACATCGCCTCAGTTCTCACAAGGGCTCTATTAGTGTTTGAACACTTGTTTGGAAAGATCTAAGCGTTTTCATTAGCAAAGACTGGCTTAGAGAATTACTGCGACTTTTATATCCAATTGCCTTGTTACATCTCAGCTCCCTATAGGTTCTACATTATTTGAGTTTTGAGTTTTGAGCATTTAGTAATACAGATAGGTTTTTAAATTCTTGTGGTCTGACTCATTGTCATCAGATTTATAGGAAAATACTGGTGGAACATTTTGCCGATGATTGATTGTTCATCAATTTATTGAATGGGTCCACAATGAAATGGCTCAAGTTCCAGTAAAGATTGTTTGCTTGATTGTCTCTTCTTAGGAATGTTTGCAAAACCCACAGACCACTGTGAAGTTGACTTCTTTCTTGGTTTGTGGTAAGTGAATCCCAGGATTCACATGAATAGTTAATGGACTGTAGTGCTATTACTTGGAAGTGTATCCAAGTTGCCTCTAAATAAGTGATCTCCACTCCATACCAGCTCCACTTAAACCAGACTAAAGAGATGAAAGAATGTTTTTTATTCACCTGTCACTGAACCCAAAAGCCACTCACAGTTTTCCATGGAAGAGTTCTTTAATCCAGACTAGAATAAGGAGTGGAAGTAAAAGTAAAGTGGTGGGGCATCTGGGTGTCTCAGCCAGTTAATCATCCAGCTTTGGCTCAGATCATGATCTCAAGGTTGGTGGGTTTGAGACATGCTTCTCCAAGGAGCTCAATTCAAACCCTGTCTCCCTCTCTCCCTGTCCCCTTCTCTGCTTGCTCTCTCTCAAAAATAAATAAACATTGAAAAAACTAAAAAGTGAAGTGATATATGTCCTTGTTGAGAGATTTTATTTAATTTTTTAATTTTTAAAGATTTTAGTTTTAAGTCATCTCTGTACCTAACATGGGGCTCAAACTTAACAACCCCAAAATCAAGAGTCATATGCTTCACCCACTAAACTAGCCAAGCACTCCTTTTTGGGAGACTTAAAAAAGTTTTGAAGATTTACTAAAACTAAAATAATCGTGATCTATATTACAAGCTATTAATCAGTATTAATAGCAAAATTTTCTTATTTTGTGAAGTTTTATTAAAACATGGTTGCAGACATTTGAACTGAACTTGGCATTCTTTTCCACACAACAAAAATATTCACTCAAAATGTGTCCTTTACTGTAACAGCTACGTATTTGTATTACATTATAGGAATTGATAGTTTTCTGTTTTCTACTTCAAATTAAATTGGATGCAACCAGACATTATCTAAGATTGCTCTCCTTTTTATTTCTGGTCAATTTTTGTTCTTTATTTTCGATTGTACAAGCACAGTATGTTTAGTATATAGAAGTATGCACTCGGGGACTTTTTTCAGGGGTTATGTGAGAGTCACTTGTCTTTGCCTTGCCGGTCATTACTTTGACTGAATGGTTCTAGTAATTGGGGCCCCTGGGTGGCTCAGTCGGTTAAACGTCCTACTTTGGCTCAGGTCATGATCTCATGGTTCGTGGGTTCAAGCCCCATGTCGGGCTCTATGCTGACTGCCAGCTCAGAGCCTGGATCCTGTTTCAGATTCTGTATCTCCCTCTCTCTCTGACCTTCTCCTGCTCACGCTGTCTCTCTCTCATAAATTAATAAAAAACATTTTAAAAAAATGAATGGTTCTAGCAAAAATATTGTATTTTATAAAAGTTTGCTACAATGTGAGCCATTATCCCTTTTCCCCTGTACTTAGGAATTCATGTGAAATACTCCTTCAGCAATGGCTTATTGAATTCAGTACAAGTCTTTACATTTAAAATAATCTTGCAAGTTAAGAAGAAAATACCAACTCAGTTTCTAAGGAAGCACACATATCGAGTGCCATGTACCATACAATTATCACTTCATAGTGGGATTTTTCTTTTTTTTTTTTTTTTCATAGGTTGTGGGATACTACTTTTGGGCTGGGAGATGGGAAGGCATTGCTAAAGAAGGAGCTTTCAAATCAGATGAATAGTGGACCTTAAATCAATCAGAATCTGGTTTAGATACAGGGTAGGCCTCACCTGGAAAAACTTCAGGTCATCGTATGGTTGCTAGCCACATAATGTAAATTGGTGTTGCTTTCCCTCCAACACTGAACAGCTAATCTATTTGTATAAGTGCTAAAGCTGGATCAGATGGGCCTGCAGTAAGGCGCTACGTTTTCTGTCTGTTGCATAGTGTTGGAATGGATATATATTTCTGAAGGGAAGCACAGAGGGGCAAATTCAGGGACTTTGAAGTCTTGATGGTAGGCATGTCTAAATTTGACCACATGAGATGCTAGAGAAGGATAGATAAATAGCATCTTAATGTGAACACTTGGTAGTTTAGGGAGGAAAAAAATCCCCAAGAAAAGGTGAAACCATGGAAGTAAAAGGAATATGATATTCGAGACAGGGAAATTATACAATGTAGAGGGGAGGTAGGGTGAATTTTTTTAGAGGGCATATTAGAATAAATCGTTTTTATAGAATTAGGTAATTTGTTCTTTCTAGGCTTTTAATGGAATAAAATATGCAGATGGATCATGTAATTATTTTAGATTATGTAATATTAATTATAATGGCTATTTATATACATAAATACATAAGCAGGATAAAGCTATAATTGCTCAGATCTTACATTTTATGGCACTTTTGATTTAATCAGTTATGTTCTTTGTACGAAATACATTTATGAAATTTAAGTTTTCGGTGGAAGCCCTTTTTGTAGATTTATGTATATTGTTTGCATTATTTGAATGTAAGTTTTACATTTATTATTTAAGTATGTTGAGTATGTCAGCATCATAAAAGCAGCATTATGAAATGAAAATACAAACTGCATTTAAGAAATGGCAACTGAACCTAGAGAAGTTCAGTCTAGCTATTCAAAATAAATTACTGTGATGAATTTAAGTAGGATTAGACAATTATGATATACTTCATATTTTACAAAAGATATTACTACCATTTTGTGGCTTCATGCTGTAACATAATATCATTTCAGATACACCTTTTTTTTTGTTTGTTTAAAACATACCTTGACAGTATATGAAATTCATCTCTTTATCTCTTACAGATCACTTTTTAATTCGGGCCTCTGCAGCTCTAGAAAAATTGAAACTTCTGTGTGGAGAAGACAAAGAATGTTCAAATCCATCAAATCTTCTAGAACTTTACACACAGGTACTGAAACAGATGTGGTTTCTGAGATGATATGGGGACAGATTGCTTAAATAAGACGATTGACTCCAAAGTTTAGGTGTAGTGAAACCAATTTATTTAAAGTGTTTGATTTTTGGGGCACCTGGCTGGCTTAGTTCGTAGAGCATGCGACTCCTCATCTTGAGGTTGTAAGTTTGAGCCCCACATTGGGTACACAGATTACTTAAAAATTAAGTCTTAAAAAAAAATGAAGTGTTAGGGTACCTGGGTAGCTCAGTTGGTTAAGCATCCACCTCTTGGTTTTGGCTCAGATCACAATCTCACATTTGGTGGGATCGAGCTGCACACGGGGCTCTGTGCTGACAGTGGGGAGCCTGCTTCAGGCTCTTTATCTGTCTCACTACCACTTGCATGCTTATGCTTGCTTGCTCTCACTCTCTCTCAAAATTAAGTAAATAAACTTAAAAAAAATAAAGTGTTTAATTTTGGTCAAAAAACCCCTGTATGTGTAAAACATGTAGACTTGAAACTTTGAGGCAGTATACAAAGAAGTAAGATTTGTTATTTAATATATTGTTAAAGAAAACAAATCTTGCAGATAGCAGATTTGCTTCCCTTTATATTTCATTAAGCAAAACACTAGTACATGCAATTTCCAAGCTTTTGAAAGTTATTCGGAGGGAATAAAGGTCTCTGTAAGGTCCCTGATAACTTTTTCCCCTGAAATTCATTTTTTTTTTTTTTTTGGATTCTCCATATCACTCTCCTGCTATTTTATGCATCTCTGTAAGATTTTTCTGTATCCCAGTCTCCCCCCCAACCCCAATTTTTTAACTTTCCTTTCAAATTCAGGTCTCTGTATGGAGACCTATTTGGTTGGTTTTCTCAAACCCTGCTGAGGCAAGCTGACATTAAGAAACATAATTTCATTATAGTAATTAACGTTCTTATAGCACTTTACAGTTGACAGAGTGCTTTATATGCTTTAGTTGATAATGAAGATGAAGTGGTTATGAAGAGTAAAGATAGTTAAGCTTTCAAAGTACACATGTCTAGCACTTAGGGGCCTAGTGCTCTACTTTTTATCAGGAGGTACATAAAGCTGGTTTCTGCCTTCAGATATCATTGTTAAATGAACCTATAACAGCTACTCATAAAACCCAAAGTGCTGCTGTTATTTGGCAGAGCTTTGCCTGGCTTTCTTTCCCTTTGGAAGCCTGCCTGCTTGTATCATTTCTTTCAATGAGAGAGTTCTAAACATTTTTTTTCTTTGCAAATTTTTATTTAAATTCTAGTTACTTTGCCTACAGTGTAATACTGGTTTCAGGAGAATTCAAGGATTCATCACTTACAACACCCAGTGCTCGTCATAACAAGTTCTAATAACAAGATTTCTAATCTTCATTGTTTTTGGTCTTTTTTCCCCACTCAGAGAGTCCCTTTTAATATTTCTTGCAGGACTGGCTTAGTGGTCACAAACTCCTTTAGTTTTGTTTTTTGTTTTTTGTTTTTTGTCTGGAAAACTCTTTATCTCTCCTATCATTATGAACAAAAGCCATGTTGGATAAAGTGTTCTTAGCTGCATATTTTCCAATTCAGGACCTTGAATATATCCTTCCATTGCCTTCAGTTTAAACCTGATTTGTCTTACCTTGCAGGTTAAGGTCTTTTCTTTCTTGCTGCTTTCAGGATTCTTTCCTTGTCTGTGTATTTTGTGAATTTGACTGTGATGTGTCTGAGTGATGACTGGCTTTTATTGAATTTAATGGGAGTTCTCTGTGTTTCTTAGATTTTGATGTCTGTCCCTTCCCAAATTTAGAGAAGTTTTCAGCCATAATTTGCTAAAATAAACCATCTGCCCCTTTTTCTTTCTTTCTTTCTTTCTTTCTTTCTTTCTTTCTTTCTTTCTTTCTTTCTTCTAATTTTTTTTTATCATTTATTTTTGAGAGAGAGAGAGCACAAGCAAGGAAGGGGCAGAGAGAAAGGGTCACATAGAATCTGAACCAGGCTCCGCTCTGAGCTGTTAGCACAGAGCTCAATGCAGGGCTCAAACCCATGAACCAGATCATGACCTGAACTGAAGTCGGATGCTTAACCAACTGAGCTACCCAGTCACCTCTGCCCCTTTTTCTTTCTTTTCATCTTCTGGGACTCGTATGATATGAGTGTTATTATGTTTTAAGAAATTGCTGAATTCTCTAAGTCTGACTTTGTGATTTAATACTGTTTATTCTCAGCTTCATTATTTTTCATGATTTTATCTTCTCTATTACTGATTCCTTCCTCTGCTTTGTTCATCTTCATTATACCATCCAATCAGGTTTGCATCTCATTTATAGGGTTTTTAATTTTGGCCTGACTAGATTTTAATTCTTCTATCTCTGCAGTAAAGTATTCTCTAATGTTTTCTGTGCTTTTTTCAAGCGTACCTAGGATCTTTATAATTTTATTTTATTATTTATTTATTTATTATTCTTAAATGTTTATTTTTGAGAGAGAGAGACAGAGTGTGAGTGGACGAGGTATAGAGAGGGAGAATCCAAAGCAGGCTCCAGGCTCCGAGCTGTTAGCACAGAGCCCGAAGCAGTGCTCGAACTCACAAGCTATGAGATCATGACCTGAGCCGAAGTCAGATGCTTACCAGACAGAGCCACCTAGGCATCCCTATACTTGTTGTTTTAAACTCTAGTTCAGACATGTTACTTATATCTGTATTGATTACATCCCTGGCCATTACTTCTACTTCCTCTTCTTTTCTTGGGGGTGAATTCCTCTGTCATGTCATTTTGTCCATAAAAAAAAAAAATAAAGCTAGATTCTATGTGTTTTGGTCTGCTTGCTAAACAAAGCTAGACCCAAAAAACATATACATACATATATACATACATACATACATATATATATATATTTGACATTTATTTTTATATTTATACATTTATGTGTGTATATGTATATATAAGTAAAATGAAAAGTTTAAAAAACTTTAATTAAAAAAATGATAAATAGGAAGCTAGCACTAAAGCTTGACAGCAGTCTATGATCAGTAGATTTGGTGCATCTGAGGGATTTGTGCTTGTCTTCTGGGGGAAGGGTTTGTTGCACTGGTTCTCAGGTCTACTTGCCCTTGTAGAGATGCACATGCAAGGCACAGGGAGGGCCGTGCTTATTGTTAGCACCCTGGTCTTCACTTGGTGGTGCTATTTGGCTCACTGAGGTTGCTCAGTGCTGATGGTGTCGGGGAGGGAGTTGCATAATGGCTTTGCCTGGCTCTCATCCCCAGAGCAGAGAGCTTGTGCCTGCTACTTTTCATGTAGGCCTCACAGAAGAGAGACAGTCACTTCTCTTGTGTCCCTGGCTTTCATCAGATCTCTGTCTTCATGATGTCTGGTTTTATCTGTTTTATCTCAGGTATATTGCTGGGTTTCTAAACTCCAGATTTTAGGGACTTGTGCAGCAGGGCCTGTGCTGATCCTCTGGGGCAGGATCTCGCCATGCTGTTGCCACTTGCCAAGTGTCCCAGGAAAGTGGTTGCAGTGGTTCGGAGTTCACGGCAAAGTGGAGCAGAAAACTGACACCAACACTCGCTGTCCTCAGCCAGTGTCCCTGCTCCTTTGCCTGGGAATAGTGCAGCATGTTAGCACCACCCTTTCTTCTGTCTCCTAGGAGGCTTTGGTACCACTCCCAGATGTACTCCAAGCAGGGGCACTATTTCTCCCCCAGCAGTCCCTAGGGAATCCTCAGGCCACGCTGTCAACTGCTGGTCTCCACTCTCCTTCCCCACCAGAGTACTGCTACGTCAGGCACAGCCTTGGCCGTGGTGGACTTCTAAAACTTGACATTTTGTGCTTCACTCCTTATAGTATTTTGAAGTAGTCTCTGTTAGCAGGGCTCCCTCTCCTCTGGAGCACCCTCAGTTCTTATATCCCCCAAATCAACTCTCTCAAATCAACTCACTGTAGATCCTACCTTCCACAATTTCACTTGTAGTTTTATTCTTTCAGTCAATCGATTTCTTGGGTGTTTAGAATGACTTGATATTTATCTAGCTCTTTTATAGGGAAGAGGCAAGCTTCCCCCATTCCTCCATCTTAATTAACTTCCACCCTTCAAACACTTGAATTTATTTCTGAAGATAAGATGAAAGACTTAGAGATATAGATTTAAATTACCCAGGCCCCCTTGGGCCCTAATTATGGTTCTGAATCAACAAGTAACTACCTGTGGGATGATTTGCCCTTCCTGACTTAGTCCTTCAACACAAGAGCACTTAGCACGTAAGTAGCCCTGGATGCTAATTATTGTTCTGTGTGTTTTACATATGTTCATTCATTTTATCCTCAAAGCAAGAAACTTTGAAAAACAGTTTCTTTATTTTATCAATAAAATTGACTGTCTTTGGTTAGTTGGGTGATTAGTGGTTAAACTCAGTTTCCTTAGTCTTAGTTCAGTAAATTAAAAAAAAGGGAAAGGCTTGGCAGTTCTAAGGCACTTGAACAGAGCATCTTGTATTTAGGAATGGGGATTTAGTATTTAAGTTGCATAATGTTAGTTATATGCTGCCTTTATTGGGTGACAGAATACATATTCCCAAATGCTGGCTCTACATTTGAAGAAACAAATAAATCATTGGAAGATTCAATATATAAAACTAGAGATAGTGATCTTAAATTGATATAGCAGATATTCAGAAAATGTTCAGGAAGTATGTATGTGTAAATTGCAAAGAACAATAATTATATTTTTCAAAATTAATATATATGATTAGCTTAAAGTCTTATTTTTTGAGAGAAGCAAGATTATCCTTAATTCAGTATTTTAGCAAAATACCTTGAGGTTTCCTATGAAGCTGTCAGAGATTATGTGTACAGCTAGACATTTTTCCCACTTTTCAAATTTAATTGTCTAATAAAGCATAAAGTTAAAATGTAAGTTATTCACATTTCAATCATTTAGGGATACTTTTATTTGTTTTACTGCAGGCCATTTTGGACATGACGTATTTTGAGGAGAACAAACTAGTAGATGAAGATTTTCCTGAGGACTCTTCACAGAAAGTAAAAGAGCTGATCAGTTTTCTTTCAGAACCAGAAATTTTAATTAAAGAAAATAATATGCATCCAAAAGTAAGTTTTGTACTCATATGCATTATGGTGGAATGCTGTACTGCTCTTTAGAGTCTGTAATTTTTTCTTCTGGAATGTGTCTTTGTTTCTGTTTAAAATGAAGATTGAAGGAGGGAATGTATGAGAGTTTAACACTTCAGACCAACATCACAACTAAAGTATCACATACATGTTTCAGGATATTTGCATGATGGAGTTGTATTGGAATTACTGGCTCTGATCATTTTCTAAACACAGATATATGCTGTTTCTGCCCCCTTTACTTTTGCAGATGCTGTTTTCTTGAAGGTCCCTAGTGATCTAATTACCACATCTCTTGTCCTTTTTACAGTCCATTTCCTCCTGGGCATTTGCTGCCTGCCTTCCCATTGATCACCCCATCCCTCTGAGGCCCTCCGAGCCTTGCTCTTGCTCTTCCCCAAACGTCTCCCCTTTCTCCCATCCTGGAAAGATATACCCTCACCAAGGATGTCTTCTTAGTCTTCTGACCATTTCTGTTCTGTCTGCTTGACAGCCTGTTCACATGCTTTTTACTATCATCTCTGTTTAGATGATTCCGAGATTTTTGTCTAGCCTTGGCTATTCTTCCAAGCAAATAATTTATTATCTTTAATTGGCTGCTGACTCTCTTTACCTAGATTTTTATTTTTATGTATTTATTTATTTTGCTCTATGTGTTTATCAGGGGATGCTAACTGTGGGAACAAATAATCCCAAGTTTTAAATGATACAGCATAGTAAACGTTTGATATATTAAAACTTTATATTCATATTTTTTCATTATTTTATTCTAACAGTAATACAAGTGTCGTCTTGTTTCAAGTAACAGATTTCTAAAAAGTTATTCTTTTTTAACACTTATTTTTTATTGAAGTGATGTTGACATACAGTGTTGCATTAGTTTCAGGTGTAGGGTATAGTGATTCAACAACTGTGTGTGTTACACTACGTTCATAAGTGTAGCTGCTTCTTGGAAGGCAATTACAATACCATTGTACCCATTTTCCCTGTGATTTAACTCATTCCATAACTGGAAGCCTGTATATCCCACTCTTTCTCCACCTGTTTGGCCCATTCCTCTGGCAACCATCGGTTTGTTCTCTGTATTCATGAGCCTGATTCTGCTTTTTGTTTATCCATTTGTTTTGTTTTTTAGGTTTCACATGTAAGATAAATCACATGGTATTTGTCTTTGTCTGATTTATTTCACCTAGCATGATACCATGTAGGTCTTTTCATGTGCTCACAAATGGCAAGATCTCATTCCTTTTTATGGCTAAATGATAACCCTTTGTACTTATCTACCACATCTTTTTTATCCATTTATCTATTAACAGACATTTGTGTTGTTTCCATGCCTTGGCTATTATAAGTAATGCTACAGTAAACATAGGGATGCATATATCTTTTCAAATTAGTCTTTTTGTTTTGGGTAAATACCTAGTAGTGGAATTACTTGATCATACAGTAGTTCTATTTTTCATTGGTGGGGAACATTCATACTGTTTCCTCAGTGGCTGCACCAATTTACACCAGCTGTGTACAAGGGTTCCTTTTTCTCCACACCCTTACCAACACTTCTTATTTTCTTGTCTTTTTGATTCTAGCCATTCTGACAGGTGCAAGGTGATATCTCACTGTGGCTTCTATTTGCATTTCCCCGATGATTAGTGATGTTGAGCTTCTTTTCATGTGTCTGTTGGCCATCTCTATATATCTTCATTTGAAAAATGTCTGTTCACTTCCTCTGTTCACTTTTTGATTGGATTATTTGGGTTTTTTTGATGTTAAGCTATACAGATTCTTTATATGTTTTGGATATTAACCCCTTCTCAGGTATATTATCTTAGCATTTGCAAACATCTTCTGCCATTCAGTAGGTTGCATTTTCATTTGTTGATGGTTTCCTTTGCTATGCAGAAGCTTTTTATTTTGGTGTAGTCACAGTAGTTTATTGCTTTTGTTTCTTTTGCCTCAGGAGAAATACCTAGAAAAATGTTGCTAAGGCCAATATCAAAGAAATTACTGCCTGATGTTTTCTTCTAGGACTTTTGTGGTTTCAAGTCTTACGTTTAGATTTTTATTCTATTTTGAGTTTATTTTTGTGTATGGTGTAAGAAAGTAATCCAGTTTCATTCTTTTGCATATGGCTGTCCAATTTTCCCAGCATGATTTATTGAATGAAAATTTATCTTTTTAATCAGATTATGGAATACTTGTACTTCAGATATATTAGAATTGGCTACTAAAATACTTAAACATAATTTTCTAGAAAATTATAAATTGGAGTAGTTATTCTAATATTCACATAACAGTAGATTTCTAACCTTCTAATTGATTCAAACCAAGTAAGGCATTCATGAATAAGTAGCCAAGTAGAGGGCCAATTTTGTGAAATGAAACTGTTTTGAATTGCTCAGTATTTTGAAATTTAATTTTGATTTTTACAGATGTGAGGTTTCTTTTTTTAGCTAAGTCTTTATTGTGTTTCAGCCCTCCGATTTGCTTGGGGACGAACTCCTGGAATGTCTCTCTTGGAGAAGAGGCGCTCTACTCTATATGTACTGTCATTCTCTGACCAAAAGGAGAGAGTGGCTCACGAGAAAATCCAGTTTGCTTAAAAAGGTGAAAAGGTGTTCCTTATACATTTTAGATTGTTGACATTTATAGGTTTCAAAAAGCTGTCATTGGTGTAGTAAAGAAAGTAGTAGATTCAAAGGGTCTGGGTTTGCACTCCAGGTCTTCTGCTTACAAGCTATGTCTTCTTAAACATATGTCTTCACATTCTTGTGAAGATTAAATAAGATAGCATGTGAAAGCCTTTGTAAACTAGGCTTTTTTTTATGTTTGGGATTTTTATTTTTTTATTTTTTTAATGTCTTATTTATTTCTGAGAGAGGGAGAGAGACAGCGTGAGCAGGAGAGGGTCAGAGAGAGAGGAAGATACAGAATCCGAAACAGGCTCCAGGCTCTGAGCTGGCTGTCAGCACAGAGCCCCACGCGGGGCTTGAACCCACGAACTGTGAGATTATGACTTGAGCCGAAGTCGGCCACTTAACTGACTGAGCCACCCAGGCGCCCCAGGATTTTTATTTTTTAAAATACAAGATAGACCATCTGTATTAATTTCTAAGCATATTTTTGGCCTGAAGAAGACAAACTTGGCTGTGATCCTCTTTGTCAGCAGATCACTCATAAAGAACCCCCATGACCCTGCTATATAACCCTGTAGTCCTCTGATTCATCTTGATTCTTCTGACTGAATCCATCAATCCAAAGAACCTATCTTACGTTGTTTCACTAAGAATTCAAACTTGAGTTGGTTGTATACATAATTTATGTGGGCTTAGAAATGAGAGGTTACACTTGATACAAAATTTTGATCATAGTATTTCACAGGTTTTAATAAACTGTTATTGAGCAATTATTATCTTTATCTTTTTCTTCCTCTGTTAACATCTTTGACAAATAGATTACTGAATCATGTGTTCTTGGTTACTTATTTCTTTTTTATCTCCCATACTCTTTTGCTAATTGGAGCATTTGGAAGGTTATATTTATAAAAGTTTTGGGGTTGCGTGGGTCCTTCTACCATTGTGATATAATAACCATAAGATATGTCTACAAACTAGTCAGTTTCCTCTTAAGTAAAGAATGGGGGGGGGGAGTTAACAATTGAAGTTTCTACAGCTCTTCATATAATACTTATAATTCTTTGGCCTGATTTTCATTTAGTACCTTATTGATGGAATCAGTTACTTGCTACAGATGCTAAATTACCGGTGTCCTATCCAGTTAAACGAAGGAGTTTCTTTCCAAGACTTAGACACAGCTCAATTATTGAGTGAAGGTAATGTGATCTCTTTTTGCAGTTTCCTGTTTTAAAGTTTGTTTTTTCTTTTTAATTTTTAAGTTTATTAGACTTTACTCTGATTTATATAAATTTAAGGTACATTATCCACCAAAAAATAATAAAAAGGCTTTTAAATATTTTCTCATGTAAAAAAGAAAAAAATTGCTATTCTCTTTGTAGTAACTTTGAAAGAATTATATATCATGTTGTGTTTATTTATTTTGTATCCCCAGTTAGGCATTAGATTCAGCTACTTGAAACAGAGACTGGAAGTAACTTTTTTTTTTTAAAGTTTATTTATTTTGAGAGAGAGAAAGAGAGAGCCATGCACACAAGCTGAGGAGCCATGCACACAGAGAGAAAGGGAGAGAGAGAGAATCCCAAGCAGGCCCTGCACTGTCAGTGAAGACCCCGACTCGGGCTTCCAACTCATGAACCTTGAGATCATGACCTGAGCCTAAGTCAGGAGTTGGATGCTTAACCAACTGAGCCATCCAGGTGCCCCTGGAATTAACTTATAAAGAAGTAGAAATTTACTGCTTTTTCACATAAAAATGGTCTTGAGGGGCACCTGGGTGGCTCAGTCGGTTGAGCGTCTGACTTCCTCTCAGGCCATGATCTTGTGGTTCATGGATTCAAGCCCCATATCGGGCTCTGTACTGACAGCTCAGCTAAGAGCCTGGAGCCTGCTTTAGATTCTCTCTAACTCTCTCTCTCTCTCTCTCTCTGCTTTCCCCCATTTGCGCTCTCAAAATAAATAAACATTAAAAAGAAACAAAACAGAAACCGTCTTAAGCTGGTAATGGTGGTTCCTATCAGGCTTCTTTTTCCTCCATCATCTTCAGAAGTGCAGCCTTATAGCTTCAGAGGGAGGCATTTATACAGAATACATGTACATAGTACTTCCCAGACGTGTGCAACACGCACCTCTGTTGCATATTGTATTCTCAATGTCTCAGCGTGCTCCTGCAGGTCTTTTCATCTCACCTATGCTTCAGTCTGTAGGAATGGCAAAAGGATGTTTCTTTTAGCCAAGACTGCTCCTTTGGAGTAACCTTCTTAGAAGTTTTTGACACTTAAAACTTCCACGTACATTTCACTGGCAATAACTTAATCACATGGCTTCATACAGGCACAAGGGAACCCGGGATTTACAGTATAGCCCTTCATCCGATAGACTGCCATCCCAAATAAAGTTGTCTCTTAACTAAGAAAGAAGGGAAGAGGGGCGCCTGGGTGGCTTAGTCGGTTAAGCGTCCGACTTTCGCTTAGGTCATGATCTCGCGGTTCGTGGGTTCGAGCCCCGCGTCGGGC